TATACCTATTATAAAACCCAGGTTGTTTGTGTGTATGTGTCTTTGTTTATATATGGGATCGGATTTCCTACATTTTTCCACCGATTTCAACAAAACTTCACTTTTTTTGGCAGGTAGTGTTTCTTATTGTCTTGCACACTTTTTTCTTTATTTTTACATTCAGAATGATTTAAAAATTCCGTTTACAAGACACTTGTTTATAATAAAATTCTATTCATCAATCGGTAGACTCATAACGATTGAAAACAATGTTTTTGTTTGAGTTTGGGTTTGACCAATTCGTAAAAAAAAACAAAAAACAACAACAAAAAAAGACTAATTAAGGCATGCGTGTCCGTCAACCTTAAACAATAATCTTATTTTATTTTTCAGTCTTTATGACGGTCGATACTTGGTCTTTCTCTTACTGTTACATCACCGGGCAACGCCGGGCTCTACTGCTAGTCTTCAATAAATCTGTGTATTCATTTTAATACCATCATCAACTTCGAAGTGATTTAAAATATTACTATCGGCCTTACAAACAGAAAATATTTCCTCCACCTCTACAATCTTGTCTTTTAAGTCGTATTTATTTTCATGAAGGACACAGATACTAGTCTAGCTGACATATTCATACAATCCCGCTATGCATTCCCCATTAAAATTACTGATGAAGAATCGTTGTCCATTCTCCGCTCAACTTGCACATTTCTTATTGTGATGCTTGCTTAAAAGAAGTAATTTGCTTTCTTTCATATCTTTAGTCAATATTCTTCATAATCTGATATTTTTTCTCTGTTTACATTTGCAGCTCCAGATTCTTCAATGCATTTTTTTGGGTTTTCATTTTTTAGAAAAGTTCTTTTCGTGACATTTTTAAAAGCCAATTTTGTTAACATGTTATCGCTCCAAAGTTATCATTCCATGTAGTTGGTTGATTTTTGTTCAAAACTTTCGCAATTGACAACGTTATTTTCTTATAACTAAATAACTTTATAATATCTTCTTCTTTTTTTAAGGTTATCGCTTATTTGCAACCAACAAAAATATTCATACACCTGAAATTAAAAATAAATAACAACAGCTACATTATTTACACTATGTGTGCATATTCTCTGGACATTTGTCCTCTGGTTTGTGGCCATGTTTGCGATGATTCGGCCGTTGTAGGCTCCGGCCTTCTTCAGGTGATCGGAATTTAGAACCGGGGTAGAATGTTCTAGTTCTAACTGCCATGCCTCTTCCGGATGTCTCAGTATAAGTTATCGCCCTTTAACTCGACTCTTCAAGTTTTAGTCCACCTCAGATGTAGCCGTACATCGAACTCACAACCAGTTATTGGATTCATATTCTTTCGGTCCTGTCACTGGATTTAACTAACGCCTTTATCCCCTGTGTTAGATACAGTGACATGACCCAAAGACTGTGAGTTCAATACCTGGTGAACGCGGTGGAGAACTTGGAAAGGGGAATTAGTAGGAGATAACTGATAACTGACATTCATTAGACATGGCACGTGTAAGTAGAACAGACTACCCCAGTGAGCGAAATAAAGGGTTCAGTTCGACATTCCAACCACCTGAAGAAGGCCGGAGCGTAAAACGGCCGAAACGTTGTAATAAATATGGCGACAAAGATAAGGAAAAGCACAAATCTTTACCTCTTTTCGTAAGTTAATTCTGACCTTAGCACAACCACTTTCACCTCACGAAAAGAGGTAAAAATGTGTTTTTAAGATTCCCTAATAAATCACTTTTATCATTATCTATCTATCTATCTATCTATCTATCTATATATATATATATATATATATATATATATATATACGCAAGAAATATAGTCTTAAGATGTGCTATATATATGGGATAAAGTGCTCAATATCAGAGATAGAGCGTGTGTAAATATAAGTCAACACTCAGAGGCGATATGTTGTTTCATGCTAGACACAATCATCAGGCGGCCTAAGGATTGCGTCTAGCATGAAACAATCTGTCGCCTCTAAGTGTTGACTTCAATGTTCACTTTTTATTTTATATATATATATATATATATATATATATATATATATATGTGTGTGTGTGTGTGTGTGTGTGTGGATGATGAGGGAAAGCTAGAGTGAATAAGAGAGAGTGAATGAGAAAGAGAGAGATTGAGAGAGGTACTCTATTGATGGCTAATCATATATTTGGTTCTTCTAACATTTAATAAAACTATTAGAATCCTGGAGAAGCGGAAATAGACGAAAATGTTGATGGTACGCTCAGCTTTTATTCTCTTCACAGAAGCCTCATCAATGCATGAAAGCAAAGAAATTCACAGCAGTTCCTTTGCTCTTCCCTGAACCCCCCCTTAATAAGCCACACACTATCCGCTTCATATATTAACTCGAAACATTTTTTTTTTTAGTTTATTTTTACTTCAGACAGAACTTAGCAATCGATTGTCGACATCATGAGAATCTAATCAGAAATGACAACATTAATTTTCTTGACTTGCCAAAACAATACATAAAAGAACACGAACTTTCAGTGAGATTTGGGAAATTCAAGAAAGTTAGAGAATATAAAACTTTGGTTTCAGTAACAATTTCATGCGTGTAAGAAAGAGGAAACTGAAATCAATGACAATAATAATAATGTAATTAGTCTAGTGTTCCAGATCAAAACCGGACTCATATATAATTACATCGGTATCTGTCTATATTTCTGAGATGAGTTATTATATACATTATTTACATTATTCGGACTATTGTCCTCATCTTTGTCGCCATATTTATTACAACGTTTCGGACTTTCAGTATCTGTCTATATTTCTGAGATGAGGTATTATGTACACTATTTACATTATTCAGACTATTGTCCCCATCTTTGTCGCCATATTTATTACAAGGTTTCGGCCCTTCAGTATCTGTCTATATTTCTGAGATGAGGTATTATGTACACTATTTACATTATTCAGACTATTGTCCCCATCTTTGTCGCCATATTTATTACAACGTTTCGGCCTTTCAGTATCTGTCTATATTTCTGAGATGAGTTATTATGTACACTATTCACATTATCCAGACTATTGTCCTCATCTTTGTCGCCATATTTATTACAACGTTTCGGCCTTTCAGTATCTGTCTATATTTCTGAGATGAGTTATTATGTACATTATTTACAATATTCGGACTATTGTCTTCATCTTTGTCGCCATATTTATTACAACGTTTTGGCCGTTGTACACTCCAGCCTTCTTCAGGTGGTTGGAATGTCAAACTTAACCCTTTATTTCGCTCACTGGGGTAGACTGTTTTAGTTCCACTCGCCATGTCGTTTTTAGTGAAACGTGTATAAACGAAGGATTGCTGCCTAAATATACAACTATATATATATACATATATATACGCATGTATATATATATATATATATATATATATATATATATATATATATATATAGGCTACACTACAACTTGCTTGACACGCAGACTCACCCTAAACCTTTCTGACTATAGCCCAATTAGATCTCTCTTATATGTTCATGGAGACCTACCGGACATTATTTGTAGCATACTTGTTGACAACACTAATAAAATAGAATCATTACATGGAAAAAAAAAGGCAAAAAATAATGGAAGCCTTATTAATAAAAACAAAAATACCGACACTTAATAATGCTAAGTTGGAACATGGATATATCTTGACCGTGTTTTGAAAATATGAAAATATTTTATAAAACATGCGGACAACTATTTCTTATTTTAAAAGTTAAAATATAATCATTGAAAATGGTTAAATGTATAGCCGAAAGCGCTCGGATAAAAAGAACATTCGGACAGTTTTTTTATATAATGTATCATCCGAAAAGAAAAAAAAAATATTAGATCGCATGAGAAATTTAAAAAAATCTAAATAAAATCACATTTTCTATCGTTTTCGAATATATATATTTATATATATATATATATATATATATATATATATATATATATATATATATATATATATATATATGGCCTAATTGTCTAAATATTCAGCATTCATTGACCGAAAAATTCGTGTTAGTAACAATTGAAATTTATTAAAATTTAGGAAATTAGTCCACAAACTCTTATCGCTCATTTTAGTACTGATGGCAGTTTCCTTTCATTCTTTTTGTTTTTGTTAACGTGGAAAGCTACCATCTTGATTACATCCTCATTATCCTTTATAATTACATGTGATATCCATTTCAGTTACTCTTTATTTGATTCTCTTATTTGCTTACGAAATTTTATTTTGTTGGGTCGACATTTATAATCGCTAAAATTAATAGGAGTCAACAGATTTGCCAAATTATCCCGTTCTTTTCTCCAGACAAGAGGAGAGGTCCATCGCTTTTTTTAGCCCCGGTTTAGGATTGGGTTTCCGATTCCTTGTAAAGTCTTTCTGTTACTCCCAGTAACCCCTTGCTTATGATTGGTATTATCACCTACCTTGTGGTGAGTTGATTGAAAAAAGTTCATTCGATTAATCATTGATCTGAGGAAACGATTGCTTATAGATGATATTTTAGACCTTTCTAAATGATTTGGACGTCAGTCATGATATTCATATGTGAGTCTAGATATGACGGGGATATTTAAAAAAAAAGAATACTGTAACAGGGTCGTAGGGACACGAAAATTACTGCAACAGAAGTAGCAGTATTGTTTCCTGTGCAAAATAGTCTGACGGAGCGCAAAACCTCTCCAGGCCTTTTTTGAATTCAGTGTTTTTTCCACTTCTACACCGGTTTTACACCTAAGGCTATAGGACCGTGTCTGTTCTGTTATTTTCCTTATAGCTGGTTGGTAGGGGTAGGAGGGTAAGAGATCGATGTATATCATTCCAAAAGGTTTATTAGCAGGTCAATAATCCGATTCATCAATCTGCCTATATAAGTACATAAAATGTTGGGCTTTATAGTAAAACTTCATTTATGAAGTTCACATATAAGAATCTACACCACTACGCCCAGTTGTCAAGAAAGTAAATATATCCTTATTTTCACACTATGGAAAAGTCTCTCTTACTCTCTTTCTCTTTTTCTCTCTCTAAGTTACTTTCTCTCTCACTCTTTTCCTCCTCTTTCTCTTTTTCTCTCTCTATCTCAGTTACTTTCTCTCTCACTCATTTTATCCTCTCTCTCTCTTTCTTTCTCTCTCTATTTCAGTTACTTTCTCTTTCATTCTTTTCATCTTTTCTCTCTCTCTCTTTCTCTCTCTCTCTCTCTCTCTCTCTCGGTTACTTTCTCTCTCACTCTTTTCCTCCTCTTTCTCTTTTTCTCTCTCTATCTCAGTTACTTTCTCTCTCACTCATTTCATCCTCTCTCTCTCTTTCTTTCTCTCTCTATTTCAGTTACTTTCTCTCTCACTCTTTTCCTCCTCTCTCTCATTCTTTCTCTCTCTATCTCAGTTACTTTCTCTTTCATTCTTTTCCTCCTTTCTCTCTCTCTTTTTCTCTCTCTCTTTTTCTCTCTCTCTCGGTTACTTTCTCTCTCACGCTTTTCCTCCTTTCTCTCTCTCCACTCATCTGTGAATATTTTAATATTTTTACGATAATTGTTCGGTTGAATTCTTCGCTATGGCATTTAGACTTTATAAATTTAAACGCAGTACTAGATTAGCCTTCAGGTCTCATCAATTCACAGTTGAAATGCTTCGACGTAACAATGCTAACAATTTCTTTTTTCGCACTTTTGTGAAACACTCTTCCAGCAAACTTTGATCTTCAAAAAATTTAAATGCAATGTCTTGGTTACTCTCCTATTCTTCTCCCTTCCGAAACTTTCTATTTTTTTCTTATACTTCCACACTTAGTAACCCGTTGTGTCTTAGTGACTTTATTCCCTTGCGTAATATGGTTAAAGAGAAAAATATGAAAATCTAGCCATGTAATGTGTGGAATCTGAAGCTGTTTGTAATTTCCATAATCAATGGAAGGTCGGGTAAAGAAATTTTCAATGTGCTTAGATTTACGAAAAATCCGGGAAGAATAAAGACGATTCACTCCGTTGCATTAGTCAAGATTAGTAGTTAGAAAAGAAGAATTTCTTGTTTCTTAATGCAAAACAACACATATGAGAAAAAATCGGTTTAAAGTACAAATATGGATAAGTGCCGTGCCAGATTTTTCTCTCGCCAGATTTATCTACGATTCGCCCGTGCATTGAATAGTTGCCATATCTAAATCTGATTCCTGATATTCATCTCGAGGTTCTTGACAAAATCCAAACAAGGAATCGATTCTGACCTAGCATCTTGATCTTCAGTCGCTTTCTCACCGATGTCACGTGACTTCCGTCCGTGTGTTCTACAAATATTTTCATGGCAACTGCTCTGACGAGTTTATTTCCCGAGTGCATGAATTTAAGTGTGCAACTTGATTGGCATCTAGGTCCCACGCTTTTACTGTTGATATAACTAAATGCAACCGCCACTTTTACTCCACTTTTCTCGCACTTCCCGTCTGTGGAACTCCCTTCGGTTTATTTCTTTCCCTGATAATTAGAATCTCCTAAAATGTAAATTAAACTTCAATCGCCATCTTATATCTTCTTGAATATCATTCATCTTTGGCCTTTCATCAATCTTTCTTATACTCAGTCTTCTCTCTCAATAATTGCTTACTAGTAGCATTGGGGTGAAATGATGAATATATATATATATATATATATATATATATATATATATATATATATATAATGGATAGTCCCCCTCCCTATCGCCTATGTAGACTGACTATATCAGTAGCGGACTTGCTTCGGAATTACTAGCCTGCTAACCTATTCCCTGTCTTTCAGTAGTGTATTCTCTTTTACAATAAACCTCTCTTTCCTTCATCTATACCGGTGTTGCTGTTCCTTTTACTCGAGTACCACTTTTGTCTGTTTTTAACCTCTTTAAGAGTACAACAGAGCCTTACCATGGCCGAGTTGACAAGGAGATGGCTTCTTGATAATATCGATTTGAGGAGACAGTCGTAGCGAGAACCGCCGTTACGAATATTGACCCAAGCCTTTGTGGATGAAATTGGGTTGTTCAGAAGACGTCTAAGGTTGTTCTGGTGTGAAGTCACAGACCACTAGCTGAATTGGTTTGCGTTCTCAGTGATAATACCCTACACACATAAAGAACTCAGTTTATGAAGGATAATTCTGATTTTGCCATGTAGTAAAATATCCACCATTACATCAGTTATCCTAATTTCTTTCCAAAATGAACATATGCTGCGATGTTAAAATAGGGAAAAAAACACAGATATGCAGTCTAGTCGGGGTGTTTATGGCTGAGGTTCTGTGAAAACCTCACAATAATGTAACCATCATAAAAAGATGATGTAAATTGTTTCCCTCGATTGGTTTGAATATTGAAGTATTTTTGATGCCCTCTCTGTTTTATAAGGTTGCCTTACATTAATCGCTAGTATATGTTTCGATTGCTCTACCCGACCGTGTGTTGGTAGATATCCTTGTTTCGGGAATTACTAACCGATTCCCTGCTTTTCAGTATTGTATTCTCTTTTACAATAAACCTCTGTTTCTTTCATCTACGCCAGTGTTGCTGTTCTTTCCACTCGAGTACAACCTTTGTCTGTTTGTAACCTTCTTTAAAGATACATATATATATATATATATATATATATATATATATATATATATATATATATATATATATATATATATATATATATATATATCAGTTTTAAGAAAATTTAAAATACTGTGGAAAGAGGGAGAAGAGTTTTCACCTTACATTGTTGCAGAGATTGGAACCAAAAATGATTTAAAGAAATCGAGATTTGACTAAGAATTGAAATGATCTAGACTGCAATAATAATAGAAACAGTTAGAATATTATTTTAAAAAAGTTGAGGAGACCTGTTGTAATTATTGATTACAGTAGCTTTATAGTCACTTATTGATTGTTTCAAGTCAATAAGTGAAAATAATGCTATTGTACATTCTAAAGATTCTTTTTGATGTAAAAGTTCTAGCCTCGAGTATTTTAAAAAAGAATATCATTAAAAAAATAAATAATAATAATAATAATAATAATTTCTGACAACTGAGTAAAAATGTAGCAAATAGCAGATGAAAAAATTCGCTAACACACACACACACACACAAAAAAAAAGTCCCCTCAAACGATATCATTCAAGGACTGAAGCAGATTCGAAAAGTAAAATTCAAAATATCCCGCCTTCAGTTCATAATAAATAAAAACAAAATAAGTCAAAGGCAACAATTAAAGAGAGTGTAATTGAGACTACCTGGAACCTGGTGTTGTGGAGTCTGGAACGTGACTGAGAAAGGTGCTAGAGATTTGAGGAGATTAAATATCATCCAGTTTTCACTGCCAACTACCAAGCGTTTCAACAACAACAACAACAATAATAATAATAATAATAATAATAATAATAACCAGAAATTTATTGGTTTTCATACTTTTTATTAAGCTTAATTCTTAAATGGATGGGTTTCACACGTGTTCCACCACTAAAAAAACGTATCGCATTGTTAAACATTTGAACCGAAGACTTAAAAAATGTTGCAATAAGAATCATAAATATGAATGCAGGTTATTACTTAAAGAAGTAAGGGGGTACAAATGAAAATATTCAAAATTTACAAGGTATTTCAATTACCCTTAAGCAGATGATAGTTTTATCACCTCTTCTCCTTGCTTTCTTTCTTCACATACACACACACACACACTCATTCATTCTCTCTCATTCACTCTCTCTCTCTCTCTCTTTCTCTCCCTTACTCTCTCAAACAGCGGTATTAATGTCTTTTCAATCTTTCAAAACGGAATAGCCATTATTTATTAGATATGGAATAATAATAATAATAATAATAATAATAATAATAATAATAATAATAAATGGTATGAACACCACCCAGACCCGGTTACGGAGATAGGACCTGTTACAATTCTATGGGACTATACAATACACACTGACAGAACAATCAAAGCCAACCGCCCAGACATTGTTATTAGAGACCGCAAACAAAAAAAAAAGTGCCTAAAAAGTAAACTGGCAACTTATTGATATGACTTGCTCACAGGATTCCAATGTTTCTAAAAAAGAATTTCAAAAAATGTCAAAGTACGATTATTTGTGTTGTGATAGGAGCATTGGGTACGATAAAGAAGGGTACCCAGATCATGTGAGTCAAATTCCCGGATACCTCAGCATCTCAGAATTACAAAAGATTACGTAGTGAACTGTACATATTATCCGCAAAACCTTCTCCAACTAAACGAAACGTCCCAAATGTCCATAGGTAACTCTATTACAGTGCCATTTTTACGAATAGAATCGGGGAGGGACGTGGTAATAAGACACTGAAAATTAATCTCTGGCAAGATGATACCACATACAATAATAATAATAATAATCTGTAAATTGATTCTTCTGATGTTAAATGATTGGTGGTGTTAACATGTTCATATATTTTCTCATGGATTTAAGCTAAGTACCCCGCCCAGTGCTACAAATTTATTGACCTTAATGACTTCGGCATAGTGTCAAGAGTTTTGTATTATTAATTTTGAAGGATAGGGTAGATATATTGGCATGGGGTATCACCTAGATACTTGGAAACACGCTCAATCACCTTTAATACAAGGCTTGTGGGTATCACCTTGATACTTGGGAATCACTTTTGATACAAGGCTTAGGGTTATCATCTAGATGCTTGCGAACACACTCAATCACCTTTAATACAAGGCTTGTGGGTAATACCCAGATTCTTGGGGGCCCCCTCAATCAAAAACCGTCTAAGCAGACTATGATAGCTGACTTGAACTAAATGGTACCCCCTGCATGGTTTTTGGATGCTTTTATCAAAACCTTCCAATATCGAGCAGATGCTTTGGTATGTCGTAATCAGGCTGGGTGTAAGATTCTTGGGGGCCCCTAAGAATTATTCTTTCTCAATCAAAAACTATAATTATAACAATGCAGTAAGCTAATGGGTAAAGCAAAAGAAATTATAGATAGAAATTACCGGATTATTGTTCGAGAGTGATCACTGGAAAATAGAAAAGGGATTCCTCATTAAGAGCAAAACAAAAAAAATGCACTGATTATATCAAATGGATGAAGTAAAAGTGTTATAACAATGGAAAAAAATGCAGACCTTATTAGAGACATGAGAAAATCAATTAATATGCTCGTGACTATAATAGTTTAGAAAAGTTTCGAAAGCCCTAGGGTTGAAATAAAAAAAATGAAGCGAGATGAGAAAAAAATCGATCTTTTTTTTTTTTAGATATTATTTGAATTTAAGCATTATTTAACTAGCTATCTGATATGTCCCGAAAAGGGATATATTTGTTCGAAGTAGTAAAGTGGGCTTGGACTACTGTAAGCGAGTAGGACAATCTATCAGGTAACCGTAATGGACTGGTCCTCGTCGTAGTGGTAGGCAATAGGCGTAGTCAATAGGCCTCCCTTGTACCTCCACATCAGTCTGTATTTATGGCTAATACCAGCCAATCATATTACCCTGAGGGGGAACCCAGGT